CCAACCAGGTAGTCGAGTTTACCTTACTCGGCAATGACTCACTGACACAATAGGCTATTCTAATCTGTTTGTCCCAAACCCAGCTTACTAGATCAAGTAGTTTTGAGTAGGCGTACAAAATATATTCCACCACCAACCAGAAAATACGCGGTGTCTAAGCACATAACTCAAGGTTGTTTTTACAATCATAGAAACGCTCTTGGGAGAGCGACAAAACAACGAACTAAACAAATCCATCAACCGATCGGCTGAATGTCAAATGGCGCGAAAACATGGAAATTCAAATTTTCAGAATGAAATTACGAAAAATTAGAACTTTTTCAAAGTGAGTTCTGAGGATCTAACATCCTCAACAGGTTCTTTATTTAATCGTGAGCTGATTCTCTGATTTAATCTCTGTGTGTAACATACTATCTGAGTATCCAAACAGAATGCCAGTATAAACTAGATTATCTGAACCAACCGGATCACTGTATTCTTGTCATATATATTGAACGAGAAAAATATCTCGAAACAAGTATAACAAGTTTCGAAGTATGCTTAAGACTATTACGAGTTCACCTTAGTCAAATAACGAGAACAAAACAATGAACCAGTGTCCAGGTAGGCTACTGTGATCTGATTGTCTCAATTGTATCAGCAAGAAGTCTTGATATAGTGTATATAAAGTGTATTCTACAAACACTCAGCTAGCACACAATACATCCAAGCACACAAATCACGTTGATTTATACATACTCTATAGAGGCGTCCTTGTGAAAGTCACAAAAACAGCACACTAAACTCAACCAATCACAACCAAGGATTTTCCTGGCGGGAAATATGATCTCAAGGTCAACTGATCGACCCAAAATATATTTATCATACAAATTTTGGAAAAAAAGAAATAATTAGAAAAAAACACTTTATTTTTTTAATGTAAACTAAAACATGATTAAAAATTTTAATCTCAAAAAAAATATTTCAATTTAACGCTTAAAATTGTTTAAATTAACTCTATTGTGTAACAACATTTAAACAAAAAAAATTTTTTAAAAAAGAAAGAAAATTACAAAACAAACATGTTGAGATTAATTCACACGTCCAGCTGTTACTTCCGTTTCAATGCCACATTCATCATGTCCACGTACTATTCGGAAATAACCATGTTCACCCCAATCTTCATTCCATGAATTAGCAATCAGCCAATAGGGAGTTTGCTTTTCAACACCCCAACCAATAATACGTATAGCATGTCCCCCAATTGGTTGTCCAGTCATATATTTATAAATTCCAGATTTATAATTTAAAAAATCTTCATAAACAGTAAATGTTGCTTCGACTGGTCCATATTTCATAATTTCTATTTGAATTGCTTTGGCATTAGGAAATACATTGTAAGATGATTTGCCTAAATGATTGATTAGATGAGAGGAGATGAGAGCAGAAAAGAGAATAAAAACAAACAAACAATGAAAATGTTATTGAATTTCAATGTTCAATTCTTTAAATTCTTCAAGAATTGATCGAAGTTAGACATTAACACCGACAGAGGTTAAAGGTGTTCGCGCCTAAGATCTAAGGTCATAATGTGGTGCGCGCTACTTATGAGTAGTATGTAACGCGAGTGTAAACGTAATGTCTGGCAGCAGAAGATGGGGGAAGATCAAGAAAGGAAGATTGGCAACACAATGGAATTTGTATGAAACGCATGAATAGTGAAATGTCAGACAATGGATTGAAGACTTGCAAATTAACGGTTACGATATGGTTTTCCTATTTTACTGAGTAACCCTGTAATTTTCGTTAAATACAATTCGGTTGCCCTCATCTGTGTTCTCTTTCACAACAATGGGTTTTGAATCCTACGAGGTGCAAGATTCGTCGATGCGCACTGTCATTGATGAGTCGCATACCAGGGAGAAACGGTTGTCTTTCAGTGATTCCAGGTTTCTTCTACTAGTGGTCTAACATTGATCAATTTATCGTTTCAAAATGTGTAACTAGATATGAAGTTAAACTCTATAGAGCGATGAAGTTATTGATCGGAAATGATTTTTATCATTTAAAACGGATTCACGAATGATTTTTAAATGTAACCTATAAATGAGTTCAAATATATGATGAATATGAAGTGGAATACCCTGATATTAGGATTGTGGTGTTGTATGTTTGAAACTGATACATATTAATCGGTCGAATTGACTACATTTTTAGAGGTAGAGAGAGAGAACAAGAGAGTGAGAGAAGGTTTATTTGGTCATATATATATATATATGTTAATGTTAATGTGTTAATGTCTAACTTGATCAATTCACGGAGTTGCGCAACTGCATACACAGTCTTCGGTAGACACTGCCTATACCCGAACAGGTTGAACTTCACTGGTCACGTCTTTCCACTAGAACTCGGAGAAGATTCCTCACAAAGCTAGTCACTAGTGAGCACATGTAATTTGCATTACGGGGTTATGAAGATTGTTAAGGTACACATTTTCGAAACCATGAATCAATCAAAGTTAGACAGCCACCGGCCGAGTGGTCTAACGGATAGGTCGCACATAATAGTGAAGGTCCTGGGTTCGAATCCTGCGAGGCGCAGGAGTCGTGGATGCGCACTGCCACTGATGAGTCCCATACCAGGACGAAACGACCGTCTTTCAGTGCTTCCAGCTTTCTAATGGTGGTGTAACAATGATTGATTGATGATTTTAAATGCGTAAAAAACACAAAACCTCCAAAACTCTGCCTGAAAATAAATACATTCCTTCCTCTTGTCAGATCACTTAAAAACATTCTTCATTAGGAACAATTTTGATTATTATCAAGTGGTGACCTTTTCATCAGGACGAATTTTTTTTTAAAGATTATAGGAATCTTAGTTATTGGTATATTAGTTTCCAGTATTGGGAAAATACTTACTTACTTACTTACCACGATGTTTATCTTGTTTATAAGAGATTTTATAACTTTTTTGACAAATTCGTTTACATTTCGGCGTTTTATAAATTTTTGTACCACATGCAAAATATTTTCCTTTTGTATGATGTTCACACTTGGGGAATGGATATGGTTGACACCCAGTGTGATTCTCTTTAGAACTACCAGTGACAATACCTTCATTTATCCAAAAATCCCATGCATAACTAGGAAAACCACCATTACAACCATATCCACAATGTGGACAACAGCTTATTAGATCAATAGCACTCAATTCAACCGATTGTTTCCCGTGTGATTGTATACAGATACGATCACTTATTGATTCTACAGCTGCAAATGCCTAGAATACAAAACAGCATTAAAAATATGAAGATAGGTTTAATTGTAGCATGATATTTACACAATATGACTTTATCAGTTAGTTAGAAAATGGCTTATATTTTAAGACTAGGTTATTCTTTGGACATCGTACTGAGTGCAGTCACTCAACATATTACAGTATAATGTTTGGGAATCAACATGACATTACTACTGTGGTGTACGGTACTTATATTCACATAAGTAGTATAATATGATACTAAATGGAAATCAAACGTCTGACAGCCAATGATCGAGAAGGAAAGAATGAAACTGGAAGGCGATTTGTAGGTATTGTAAAGTGAACTGAAGTATGAACAGTTTCTAAATGAAAGAACACTGAAATCTGAAACAGAAATAAGGATTAGTTTGCAAATGATGATTTCACGGGAAGGTTTTGTACATATGCTTAACACCTCTGTAATATTCGCTTAAATATAGTTGTTGATGTCCTCACCTCGCCATCCAGGCTGTCGTACACAGCCTTCACTCAGCCGCGGAGCAGCGATCCCAAAGCCACCGTCTTCTCCTGCTTCCATCCGACTAGCTCTGCCACGGCCTTGAACTCTTTCAGGTAGGCCACCACATCTCCATCTTCGAACTCCTTCGGCCACGGTATCTTCATCCTGGCAGCGACACCAAATTTTGTGCATGAAAACCCAGGTGAGGACATCAACGATATATTTATTTAGGCGAATATTACAGAGTTGTTGGGCATATTTACAAAACCTTCCGTGAATCATCATTTTCAAACTAATCATTATTTGTTTCAGATTTCAGTGTTCTTTGATTTAGACTGTTCATAATTCAGTTCACTTTACGTTTCCCACAAATCGCTTTCTGTTCTCATTCTTTCCTTCTCAATCTTTTGCTGTCAGACGTTTGATTTCCATTTAATATCATATACTACTTATGTGAATATAAGTAGCTTACACTACACTACAATCTGATCATTCATAAGATTCTCTACACAAACACAGATGTCTAAAGATATCAACAGTCATTAGTAATAAAGTATTCTAGTCATTAGAACTTACCCAACACGATCCACATCGTGACTGATCGCGTATCATTGAGATACTTTTACAACGAGGCCATTTCTTTCGTGCATCGAAACTCGATGGAATTTCTACATCTGAATCACTATGATCGACTGTTGAACGTTTCTTGTTTCTCAATACTGGATCCTCTTTTCTTGCACCCATCATTATACGTGCATCATTCAATGATAGGAAACGTGTGCTTTTTTCAGCTTTCCATCCAGCGTCTGGCTGAAGAATAGAAAAGTGAGAATCAGAAGTATTGATTATTTGTTGAGGTAAAGTCTTTACGAATTTTCAAGTAAAAAGAATGAAAGTGGAAAATGCAACCCTGTTCAAAATGTTCCACTTTTGATCGTTGGTTTTTCAGTGTTCAATTCGAATATATTTGATATCAAATAAGAAATATTCTATTGGTGATAACTTGAAACTTGACATTCTTATCTGTCATTGTAATAAATCATTGTTAGACAGAGAACCATTAGAAACCTGGAAGCACTAAAAGACGACCGTTTCGTCCTGGTATGGGATTCATCAGTGGCAGTGCGCATCCATGATTCCTGCACCTCACAGAATTCGAACCCGGGACCTTCAGTATTGTGCGCGAACGCCTAACCATCAAACCACTGGGCCGGCATCCAACGGTGTTTCTTTCGCCTAGACATTATCATACATAACTTACATGTTGATTGATATACGAGATCATTTCATCGGACAATGGTTGAATTCTTTCACTTTTCTTCACTGAAACATGTGCTTCAATGAGAGTTAACAATGCAGCGATACACAACACAGAGCCGAACATGTTTATGAATCAGTCTTCAGTGGGTACGTCTACATTCAATAGATCAACAAAAAATAATTGACTTATATAGTGAGTTGAAATATTGGACTTTGATCAATAATAGTAAGCTGTTGTAATTCTTAAGTATTTTTCAAAAAAAACACCGCCAACTTATGTGTCAATGTTCAGTAGAGAAGATATGGTTCAGTGAATAAAACAAATCATGATAGTTACGCTCACAAACTGAACATTGAACATTGATCAACATTGATATGTGGAATAAAATTTGTGATAAATTATTTTTTATGAACTGAAACTTTGATTATAATCTATAATTCCAAAGGTAAATTTGCATGTATTACACAAGTATTGATACTTGAAATGTAAGGATAATCATAAATGTATTGAACTTTTTTTAATATTTTTAACTATTATTATTATTTGATTGTAAATAGAAAAAAGAAAAACTTTGTCATTTGATTTAGTTCAACTTCATTTGTGTACATATGATATGATCTTTAATCAAAGGTCGTTCACTCGTAAGTACGTAAGTAAGTGCATAAGTAAGTAAGTAAGTAAGTAAGTAAGTAAGTAAGTAAGTAAGTAAGTAAGTAAGTAAGTAAGTAAGTAAGTAAGTAAGTAAGTAAGTAAGTAAGTAAGTAAGTAAGTAAGTAAGTAAGTAAGTAAGTAAGTAAGTAAGTAAGTAAGTAAGTAAGTGCATAAGTAAGTAAGTAAGTAAGTAAGTAAGTAAGTAAGTAAGTAAGTAAGTAAGTAAGTAAGTAAGTAAGTAAGTAAGTAAGTAAGTAAGTATGTGTAAGTCCAGCTTGCGGATCCATAATAATAGGAAACAACTATTCGAAATACCAGTGTTAATCACAGTCTTTTCTGCAGTTTTAGTGTTGTGTTTGCTAGTTGATCATTATGGCAGTAAAGTGCTCATAATCCTGTAGAAAGTACATTCTACATCGCCCAGCAATCACAATACAATCAAGCCCACAACTCTCGTTTATTTATACATCATAGAAACATCCTTGGGACAGTCACAATAATAGCACACTAAAATACACAGCAACCAATCACACAGCCATGGATTTTTCCTGGTGGGAAATGTGATCTCAAGGTCAACTGATCAGCCCATGCTGGCAAATCTGAAATCCAAAATAAGGCACTTACCAAGTGAGTTCTGGGGATCCAACATCCACAACAGTTTATTATAATTATTTCGTATAATCCGGCAACCTGTTTAAATATTTGAGTTATCTTGTGGTGATCGCAGTCGAGGTTGACTATAAACACTTCTGCAAATCAATTTCAGTCTGGTCTTTTAGTTCATTATCCCGTCAGGAATTAATAACAAGGAAGAAAAGATAGTCCAGATAAATGTGTGTATTTGCTGACAATTTCATGGTATCAAATGAATACCGAAATCATACCAGAGAAGATGGGCGAGTATGTAAAGAGCAGCATAAGCGAGATGGTTCCTGCATAACAGGAAATTGTTGTACAAAAATCAATGTTTCTATTTAACCGATCCCGTTTTCTTAATATCAAAGTATTTCAACAAGTTACTTCATTACTATTTGGTTCAACACGTCATTTATGCCTATTAGTTACATGATCTCTTCATAAAGTTTTACAAAGTACACACTTGATACATGGTGATGGCTGACAAATAAGAACAGAGTGAACGTTGGTTGATAAGATGTTCATTGTAAAACTGTTCACTTTCAAATGTCAATTACTAGTTGTTTTGTAAAAAGAAAACATGTTCCATACAGAGAATGTTTTATTTTGTACTAAACAAATAGTATTGAATAAAGCCATCATGTTTACGGTTATCACATTATACTTACATATGATGATTACGATTCACAAGTAAATTCTCTCATCTAAGTAATATTAAAGTTTGCAAGCTACTGACGAGAATTAGACGAAATAAGAATGAAATGATGTTGTTCTGCTCAGATGGTTGTTTTTTTTCAACATATATTACTGTTTGACTGTTATGAAACTAATTTATATTAGATTTTGAGTAAGAATATGCAGCAATCTTTTAACAATGAAACACAAAAACAATTCGATTACCTAATATCGATTTCATTGTGGTGTAGATTTGACAATTTGTAGAATAATCATGAACCCGTCATTGTTAGACCACCATTAGAAATCTAGAAGCTCTGGATGGCGTTGTTTTAGTTGCGAGACTCATCGGCAGTGAGTGGTAACAGCCGAACACAATAAGTTTGGTTGCGCGAAATCCTTAGATTGATTAGAGTTGGACATTAACATTGTCAGTTAAACGTTGCCGCTCAAGACCAAAAGTCCAAGGTTCGAATCTCGTGACTAGCAGGGATCGTTTTTTCGCGCTGTTGATGAGCCCCCCACAGCAGGTCGAAACTTCCTACATGTTTTGAATGGTAGTCTAGAAATGATTCATTCATTTGTCCAAACTCTAAGTGTTCGCGTGAGAAACCGAAGGTCATTGAATCAAATCTCCCCAGTAGAAATAATCGTGACTGCACACTGCTGAAGAGTCCCTTAACCAGTATTTTCAGATTTCTATTGGTGGTCTGAAAAGGATTCATACACGATTTTAATCCATTGTAGGTGTTAACAATAGACAAGCAATATTTCATGTTGTACCATAACGTTTATTAGTGTTTAACAAGTTGAATAAGTCAACATCCATTTTCTATAGACATTCAAATTGAATTTATCACAATGAATCTGTTTAGGGATGTTCGATTCTCAGAACTCATATGGATTGGTCGTAGTTTTTTCTTAATTCCATTCTGAAATTTTGAATTTCCTTGTTTTCGCGTAAGTTGACCTTCAGTCCACACTTTCACCTTGGAGAATCCTTGATTGTTCTTGGTTGATGGGTTTTTTTACTACGCTGTTGTATGGCTCTTCCACAAGCGTTGCCACCATTATATAAATAAGCTTGAATTGTGTACTAAGCAACCACATATTTTCTGGCTGCTTGCAAAATACACTTTTCTACGCCGTATCGAGATTTCTTGATCCAGTTAGCACGGCTGGGGTCAATCAGATTAGAATAGCCTATCGTGTCACCGTGTCATTGTTACTCTCGTCTGTAGGTATGCTTAAACTATTACGAGTTCACCTTAATCGAATAACGAGAACAAAATAATGAACCAGTGTCCAGGTAGGCTGCTGTGATCCCTTGACCAAATTGAAACAGCAAGAAGTCTTGATATACTGTAGAAAGTGTATTCTAAAAACATCCGGCCAGCACACAATGAATCCAAGCACTCAAATTGCGTTTACTTAGACTTCAAAGAGACGTCCTTGGGACAGTCAAAAAAATAGCACATTAAAATAACACAGTAACCAATCACAGGCAAGGATTTTTCTGGTGGGAAATGTGATCTCAAGGTCAACCGATCGGTCCATGAAATAAATCCAAAATAAAGATATTTATCAAGCGAGTTCTGGGGATCTAACATCCCCGACAATCAATGCGCTTCGTTCCGTTTACCGAGTAAGGTGAACTCGTAATAACATTCAAGCCAATCAACTGACGAGCATATCAGTTTCCTAACATGAGCATAACGGAGATGAAGTGCAAGTGAAAAGTGAGTTAAACCCAAACAAATATATTTCATATAGGTATACATAACTCGTATCAAGAAGATACGTAAATCTAATAAGTGCGGTATTACTCACTGCCATCATGATTCTTCGAGAATTCTGAGCGATTTCTGAAAAGTCATGCTTAGAATCAGTTTGAAAATTCTACAAACAGTGGTATTATCTGATTTGATGTGTATCTAATCCCATCCTGTAACGTAAACAGTCTCAATGTGCCTACGATGAATAACTGTCTTAAATTTGCATTACGGGGTTGCGAAGATTGTTAAGTTACACATTTTTGAAACCATGAATCGATCAATGTTAGACCACCATTAGAAAACTGGAAGCACTGGATGATAGCCGTTTCGTCCTGGTATGGGACTCCTCAGCAGTGCGCATCCACGACTACTGCACCCCGCAGGATTCGAACCCAGGACCTCGGTATTGTGAGCGAACGACCTAACCGTTAGACCACTGAGCCGATGCCCAACGGTGCTAATGTCTAACTAGATCAAATTCACGTGTTCGAATCCTGCGGGTTGCAGGTTTCGTGGATGCGTACTGCTGAGGAGTCCCATACCAGGACGAAACGGCCGTCGTGAACTGCTTCCAGGTTTCTAATGGTGCTGGTCTAACATTGATCGATTCATGGTTTTAAAAATGTCTTCAAGTTAATAAAACTGAACTCTATTGGTCATCATGCTTGTCACTTGAAGTACTTATTTGATGCCTAGTTTTTGCGTAGTATCATGTTCGTTCGTTTGTATTGATTGATATTCATTTCACTTGTAGTGCCTCCACATAATCTTCTATTCACTCATATTTGATTTGATTTAAGCCTTTCGATTAACTTATGTAACCAAGCTATTATTTGTATAAGCAACAACCCATATGTGTACCATTGGTATTTTTTATTGTCTGGTTTATATGAGCTTGTACAGCTGAGCAATGCTTACGCCCACGCGCTTACTCATCCTTAATGTTAATCTCTTACCATCCCTATGGTCTCACATGACTTGTCTGGCTTACTTTTGACCTTGTCAATCATTCGTCACTTTTATTCATGTGTGTGTGCATGCCTATTTCGTTTGTCATATGTCTGTCTAGTTTTTTTGTCTGACTATATAATCTTAGTCATGCTCTATCTCTTCTCCAGTTCACGTCGTTTCATTTGTTTTATTCACTGTTTCTCCGCTTCGCTTTGTGTGGTGTGTCCTAAATAAACGTATTCATCATCACTACGAGTTCACGTTCTGATTTATGAAATCGTCAGACGCTATTTAGTAACGATTGTCTGGAACTTAAGAACATACGCAGTAAATCGACACACTGCAAACGGCGAGCCCGACGTCAACAAAATCGGCCAACATACACTTACAATAACATTCGGATATCAAAAACACATGATGAGTTATTTCTGACATATTTTACTTTTTGGTATAATAAGAAATCCTTTAATGACAAAGCGAAAAACTAATGTTTCAAAACGTTTGCGATCTCATGAAATACAAACAAATGCACACTTTATTCTTGGAAAAGTTCTTTCATCAAAACAAAACAAGAATATTTTTATTATTGTACTATAATTTTGGAATACCAGCAGTTACTTCTTCTTCAATCCCACATTCATTATTTCCACGGAGTATTTTAAAAAAGCCTTCATTACCCCAATCTTCATTCCATGAATTTGCACATAACCAATATGGAGTATTGTTGTTCTCTTCAACACCCCAACCAATGATACGAATTGCATGATTTCCAACAAGTTGTCCACCTACATGCTTATATACACCAGATTGATAGGCTACAAAATCTGTGTACACTGTTAAAATTGCTTCGACTGGACCATAGAGCAGAATTTCTTTTTGAATGGATAGTGTTTTATTGATAATGTTGTATACTCGTTTACCTAATTTGTCAAATGTATAGGATGTATGAAGTGTCAGTTGTTGAAAGTTAACATTTTTTCGCATTCAAATAGTATGCAGATTACATTTTGTATTGTTTACTTACTTAACAAATATTTACCAATAAATACATATCTCAGACAGGTTAACAATAATTTTATTAACCTTATTTTAATGAATAAAATACTTGAAAATTTTAATCAAATCGAACAGTTGAAGTAAAGCAGCTAGCAGTCAAGATCAGAACTCGAATTGTGTTTTATTTCTGACTAGTCAGCTGGATGCTCCTGCAGCTCAGAGATTGCAAATCTAGTACAGTTCACTTTAAATGACATCATGTTTTACATTTAGTCACAGGGTTGAAGAGGTCGCTTGCCTGTGCAAATATATTCAAATAATGAGTGCTTGTAATAATCTTGTAACAGTATCAAAGCGATACGCACAAAAAATGCACAAAGAATTAAAGAGACTGATTAATTTTAACTCTAATTTTCACTTAGACTTATGGAGATTAGTGTTTTTACACAATTGAAATCATCAATCAATCATTGTTAGACCTGTAAGCACTAGACAGCCGTTTTGTCTTGGTATGGGAATCATCAGTGGCAGTGCGCACCCACGACTCATGCACCTCGCAGGATTCGAACTCGGGACATTCGGTATTGTGCATAACGCCTAATCATTGGACCATTGGGCCGAAACCCAACAATGTTAATGTCAAATTGTCAAATGAATTAATCAATGACAGATTAAAGTTATTAAAACGATCGATTCCAGTTGTATGACACATAGTTTGGCAGTAAAACAATAGACTTATTTCTTGGAAAACATTTGAATGAGCAGTCACTGAATATTGAACAGTGATTACAATCAATAAGATCATGATGATAATTGATAGCTATCCATCCAGCATTGGACTAATATATCAGAAAAAAGTAAATATTATTTGAATAATAAGCGTAAAAATAATTAAGTCAATGAAGAAACATATCAACTCGTATATCTTAAAATCGATCATTGTTTGAAGCTTATTATAGAAAACGGAGAAAAGAACTGTACAACGGTTTTGTCCGGGACATCTGCGGTTATGGATGCGCACGTCTGATGAGCACTATACTCGGACGAAACGATTGTGCAGTTCTGTTTTCCGTTTTCCTGTCCTGAGTTAGATTCCTGACATCTGCTGTTATGGATGAGCACGACTGATGAGCAGTATACCCGGACGAAACCGTTGTACAGTTCTTTTTTCCGTTTTCTATAATAAGCTTTTAACAATGATCGATTTTAAGATAAACGAGTTGATATGTTTCTTCGTTGACCCTATTATTTTTACGATTATTATTTTTCTAATGTATCAGTCCAATGCTGGATGGATAGCTATCAATTATTCGGAACAATTCAAATTGTCAAAAATGAGAAACTATGCTTTAGGAACTAAAAGAGAAAATAAAATTTTACGAAAATTACGACGTCCAACATTAACACACGATGATATTAACATAAAAATACCAACAAATTTTGATGCTCGAATGAATTGGTTATATTGTCCATCGATTCAAACAATACAAGATCAATCGAATTGTGGTTCATGTTGGGTAAGTTTGGCAAATATCTATTGAACTATTGAACTGTTGAACACAGTTTAATGATGAGATTCGATGAAATGTACTTGACTTTTTTTCTGTTGAAGCAATGAACGAATCAATATTACACTGTCCATCGGTTAAGAGATTAGGCGTGTACCCGATATCGTTGTGCAGTGGTTGTGGATGCATAGATCATACTGCTTCCGTTTTTCAATGACCTTGATCGATTCAGTTTATCGATTTTAATAAAAATCACCGATCTCTACAACCTTAGAGTGACAATAAAATTTGTTTGGTGGCTTTACCAAGTAATTATTCAGTATTTTTATAATTTTATGTGAGAGATTTTTAACTTACTCAGAACTACACATCATTAATAAGTTTGCATTACGGAGTTGTGAAGAATGTTAGGTTACACATTTTTGAAACCATGAATCGATCAATGTTAAACCAGCACCATTAGAAACCTGAAAGCACTGCACGACGACCGTTTCGTCCTCGTATGGGACTTCTCAGCAGTTAACCTTGTCTTAATTCATTTCATATAATGTTCACTATTTAGTAATATATGTATATATATGTCATGAATTCTGAATTTTTTCAATTCGATTAAGGGATTTCAGTGAGTCATGGATGTGCACTGTCACTGATGAGCTGGTCCCATACCAGTACGAAACGGCCGTCCAGTGCTTCTAGGTTTCTTCTAATGGTGGTCTAACATTGATCGATTCATGGTTTCAAAAACGTGTAACTTAACAATCTTCACAACCCCGTAATGCAAATTACCTGTGCTCACTGGTGACTAGATTCGTGAGGAAACTTCCCTGAGTTCTAGTGGGAAGACGTGACCAGTTAAGTTCAACCTGTTCGGGTGTAGACAGTGTCTACGGAAGACTGTGTATGAGGGTGCGCAACTACGTGAATTGATCAAGTTACACATTACCACAGGAAGGTGCCGGCTCAGTGGTCCGATGGTTGGGGCGTTCGCGAACAATAGTGGAGGTCATGGGGTTAGAATCCAGTACATTAGTCGTGGATGCGCACCTCTGAGGAGGGCTCATACGGCCATCCAGTGCTTTCAGTTTTATAATGGTGGTCTAACATTGATCGATTCATGGTTTCCAAAAATAATAAGTTTACAGACACTGAAATCAAGAAAAAACATGTTGAATATTCATACTGTCCACTCTCTAACGCCTAGTAATGACCTACCTACTATTTGAAAATTAGTATTCTTATTTAGCGATGGTGATATAAGTTTATGTAGCGTAGATAGAATAAGGTCATCAATGGAATCTAGGATGTATGCTTCATGCTATTTGGGACTTGTCACACTGGATAAAGCAACATTCCTAATGTGTGAGACCCCTCCATGCTATATATTTGGTAATTCGTTTTTATCGATTCCTTCAGTTGTACATTTTGTTAATCTGTTCAATTCCATCATTGAAATGATAATATTTGTATTTTATTATAGTTTCTATTTCTTCTGTCTTTATTGGAGTTTCTATGTTTCTTTCTGAACTGCATGTATGTTGTTTAAACTGATACTTAGTTATGGCGACAGCCATATTGATTTGTGCCCCCCATTTGATTGAGTAGTTGCTTGCATGGACTGGAATGGTACATTTTGATTATGAATTAAGAAGCACTCTGACAGAATAAGAAGCACTCTGTGTTATAAAACAACCAAATATTATTTGTCGAACGAATATGATCTATCCAGGAGGGATAGAATATCATTTATTTGAATAATTGAACAATTGTTGAGGAATAACTGTAGTTGGTAATATTTGTTTAAGTAATGATGTAAATATTTATATTTATGATGAATATTAGAACCATCATTTACTCAAATTACTTGTTTTGGTTTTTAAAACTGGGCAAGGCGCGTATCTAAACTACGGTAACTGACGAATACCTTATAATGAGACAAAATTAAATTGATTTTGGACGATATGAACAAATTGCTTCGACTAGAGTAATGAAGTAACATTTCCATTTTGCAAAATACACCTAACAAATTTAACTGCTTTTTCGCTTTCTATCTATCTATGCAGGCAGTAGCTGCAGTCGAAGCAATGAATGATCGGATATGTATTCATTCAAAAGGAAAAAACCCATCGTCACACTGAGCAGTCTTGAGTTGATTAGTTTGTGTCCAAATGTGGTAATGGTTGTCTCGGTGGCTATGCATCAGTAGCGTGGGATTATTGGAAAGCTAAAGGTATATGTGAACGGTGGTGTTCATATGAAAATCAACAGGTTGTCAACCTTATCCATTCCCAAAATGTGATCATTACATACCGATAAAATATCAACAATGCTCCGATCAATTAGTCACCAACACCAATTTGTAAAAAAGGAATGTCAGAATGGTTATGAAAAAAACTTATCCTAGTGATTAACATTATGGTATGATTTTGCGTATCGATTGAAAATGGTGTGTATAACATGAAATTAGGCTAAACATTGTTTTACTGATATCATCCATGATCTTCTTGATTGTGATCAGTGTTCAATATTCAGTGACTACTCATTCAAATGTTTTCCAAGAAATAATGTGTCCTGATTTATTGCTAAACTATGTGTCATACAATTGGAATCGATCGTTTTAATAACTTTAATATCTGTCACGATCTTTTCTCTTGACAATCGGTCCAATGGTTTAGGCCTTCTCGAGCACAATACCGAATGTCCCGAGTTCGAATCAGGAGTCATGGGTTCGCACTGCCACTGATGATTCCCATACCAAGACGAAAACGGCTGTCTAGTTGCTTACAGGTCTAACAATCATTGATTGATGATTTCAATTGTGTAAAACACACTAATCTCCAGAACTCCAAGTGAAAATTAGAGTTAAAATTAATCAGTCTCTTTGATTCTTTGTGCATTTTTTTTGCGTAACGCCTTGATGCTGTTACCAGATTACTAAAAGCACTCATTATTTGAATATATTTTGCAATACAAAGGAACTAATCTTACCGCCCACCCCCCAATTGCACAGGCAAGCGACCTCTTCAACCCTGTGACTAAATGTAAAACATGATGTCATTTAAAGTGAACGGTACTCTAGATTTGGAATCTCTGAGTTGCAGGAGCATCCGGCTGACTAGTCAGAAATGACCCACACACTTCAAGTTCTGGTCTTGACTGCTAGCTGCTTTACTCCAACTCTTCGATTTTATTAAACTTTTCAAGTATTTTATTCATTAAAATAAGGTTAATAAACTTATTGTTAACCTGTCTGAGATATATGTTTATTGGTAAATATTTGATAAGTAAGTATAGAATACAAAATGTTATCTGCATACTATTTGAATGCGAAAAAATGTTAACTTTCAACAACTGACACTTCATACATCCTATACATTTGACAAATTAGGTAAACAAGTATACAACATTATCAATAAAACGCTATCCATTCAAAAAGAAATTCTGCTCTATGGTCCAGTCGAAGCAATTTTAACAGTGTACACAGATTTTGTAGCCTATCAATCTGGTGTGTATAAACATGTAGGTGGACAACTTGTTGGAAATCATGCAATTCGTATCATTGGTTGGGGTGTTGAAGAGAACAACAATACTCCATATTGGTTATGTGCAAATTCATGGAATGAAGATTGGGGTAATGAAGGTTTTTTTAAAATACTCCGTGGAAATAATGAATGTGGGATTGAAGAAGAAGTAACTGCTGGTATTCCAAAATTATAGTACAATAATAAAAATATTCTTGTTTTGTGTTAAGTGACAACTTTTGAAAGAACTTACCCAAGAATAAAGTATGCATTTGTTTGTATTTCATGGGATCGCAAACGTTTTGAAACGTTATTTTTTTCGCTTTGTCATTAAAGGATTTCTTATTATACCAAAAAGTAAAATATGTCAGTAGACTTTAATTTTGAAATAACTCATAATGTTTTTTTTCTGATATCTGAATGTTATTGTTAGTGTATGTTGGCCGATTATGTTGACGTCGGGCTCGCCGTTTGCAGTGTGTCGATTTACTGCGTATGTTCTTAAGTCCCAGACAATCGTTACTAAATAGCGTCTGTCGGTTTCATAAATCAGCAGGTGAACTCGTAGTGATAATGAATACGTTTATTTGGGACACACCACACAAAGCGAAGCGGAGAAACAGTGAATAAAACAAATGAAACGACGTGAACTGGAGAAGAGATAGAGCATGACTAAGAATATATTACTTACTTACTTACTTTCGCCTGTTACCCCAAATGGAGCATAGGCCGCCCACCAGTTTTCTCCAACCAACTCTGTCCTGGGCTTCTTTCTCCAGTTCTGTCCAATGTTTGTTCATTCGTCTCATATCTTTCTCTATTTCTCGGCGTAATGTATTCTTTGGCCTTCCTCTTTTCCTTTTGCCTTGAGGGTTCCATGTGAGGGCTTGTCTCGTGACGCAGTTAGGTGCTTTCCGCAATGTGTGTCCTATCCACTTCCACCGCTTCTTCCTGATTTCCTCCTCCACTGGAATCTGGTTTGTTCTCTCCCACAGTTCGTTGTTGCTGATCGTGTCTGGCCAACGAATACGAAGTATTTTACGTAGACAGCTGTTAATAAACACTTGTATCCTCTGGATGATGGCTTTCGTAGTTCTCCATGTTTCCGCTCCATACATCAGAACTGTCTTGACATTTGTATTGAAAATCGTGATTTTTGTGTTGATTGATATTTGTTTGGAGTTCCAGATATTTTTCAACTGTAGAAATGCAGCCCTTGCTTTGCCAATCCGTGCCCTCACATCTGCATCGGATCCACCTTGATTGTCGATGATGCTGCCCAGATATGTAAAGGTGTTAATGTCCTCCAAGGCATCTCCATCAAGAGTGATTTGATTGGTGCACGTTGTGTTGTATCGGAGAATTTTGCTTTTTCGTTTATGTATGTTGAGACCTACTGCTGCAGAGGCTGCTGCTACACTGGTCGTCTTCTCTTGCATTTGTTGTTGAGTGTGAGATAGAAGAGCCAGATCATCTGCGAAGTCCAGATCGTCCAGCTGCGTCCCAACTGTCCAG